ACTTAAATCCATGCTCTTAGTTTTCTTTAACCATTCTGTTGTTGTGTACTTGGAGAATGTGATGTTTAGATTTTATATTTTCCATTGAGCCGTTGTACATGCCATTGCAAAAGGTCATAGGAGGAGGTAGCTTTGTTGGTTGCTTGCCTTTGTTAGGTGAGTAATTGTGGTGCCTTACAGGATGATTTATACACAAATGTACATCTGGAATCTTCTTCTAAGGCGCTGCATCTTTACTCCAATGTTACTTATCCCAGCTAAGGTCTACTACCTTCTTGCTTCTCTTCTGTCTCTGTACATGTTTTAGTTCATAAATTGATCAAAATGATTGCATTATCAAGTTGCAAGTTAAGTATTTTTCATATAAAATTAACTGATTATTTCAAATTAAATTCAAGCTTTAAAATACTTTTAGTAATTTGTTTTATAAAACTTCCTCTGCTATCAGATGAGGTGAATATTGTTGGTCATCTTGTTCTTTTCTCACCCTGGTTGAGTTTGCTTTTTGTATATGGGCAGCCCGCCTTTGGTATTCTTTTTTCTTTATCCTTTATCTTCTTCAAAGAAAGAAAAAACAACTCTACCTTGCCATTGCTCATGCTAATTAGTTGCATTGGCATGGCTGCCTTGGATACTCAGCCAACCATTTTTTACCCCAAAAAAAGTAGTTTATAAAAGAAGCAGCTTTTACTCTTTTAGTTTCAGTGTAATTGGGAATATTGATATCTAAACTCTTAAAATTGTGTGTAGTTTATATGATGATGAAAAGAATAGATGAAACTAAAAAAATTAGCTAAAAAAAATTATCTGAAAAAAAGAATTTATCTATAAAAAAATAGATGGAGCTAAAGTGTTGTCTTTGAAGCATTTGGATACAGACTTTGACTAGATCTAACTTGCTGAAAATGATGTCAAGGCAAAGGAACTGTCTTTTTCTATTTATTGAGCTAAGAAGATGCCTGTATCCATGGCCCTATTACATACTCCTGATACTCCATTATGTCTTAGAGAATTGCTGTTTTATCAGTTAGCATTTTTGGTTCTCTGTGTCAGGAGTAGATGCTTCTTTAAGGCTCAAACAGGTTTTTGCTACCTAGTTGTGCAAGGTAACATGTACGCTTGCATGAATGTAACTTCTTTGTGCTTTAATGAAATTGGATGTTTCTAGGTATTACTTCATTTCATTTACTGGGATTCTCTAGCAAATATGCAAGAGCTTGTGGATATGGACTCAAAATGGGCTTCTACACTGATGGCTCAGCACCTGCTTGCGGCTGCAGACCGTTATGCCCTTGACAGGCTCAGACTGCTCTGCGAGGCAAAACTTTGTGAGGATGTTGCCATAAACACAGTTGCATTCACATTAGCATTGGCAGAGCAGCACCATTGTTTCCAGCTTAAAGCTATATGTCTCAAATTCATTGCGTTGCCTGAAAATTTGAAAGGTATTATATTT